GAGAACGAACCGAGGAGCTGATGGAGCCAATAGAAACCAAAGGAGATCCGGTCTGTCTGGTCAGGGTCTGGTGCCAGATTGGAGAACGAACCGAGGAGCTGATGGAGCCAATAGAAACCAAAGGAGATCCGGTCTGTTTGGTCAGGGTCTGGTCCCAGATTGGAGAACGAACCGAGGAGCTGATGGAGCCAATAGAAACCAAAGGAGATCCGGTCTGTTTGGTCAGGGTCTGGTGCCAGATTGGAGAACGAACCGAGGAGCTGATGGAGCCAATAGAAACCAAAGGAGATCCAGTCTGTCTGGTCAGGGTCTGGTCCCAGATTGGAGAACGGACTGAGGATCCGGTCTGTTTGGCCCGAGGGATCCACTCTTTCTCTATAGACCCTCTGAGAAGTTCAGCCTCACAGGAAGTGACACTCTGTTTGGATAGAAATACTATAAAAAATAGATCACTTCCTGTAAGGCTGAACCTTTCAGAGGGTCTAAGGAGAAGGGGCGGATCCTGAAGCTGGCTGCTGGATGCTGATTGGCCGACACACTCAAGGATTTCTGACAGCGCAGAGGTTTTCATCGGGATGGGAAAAGTGATTATTCAGTCGGAGCAGTCATCTGGTATTGTTGCCATGGTTACTGGGGGTTATCACTTTCATCGCTGTTGTAATGACATCGATGTATTTCTATATGTGAAGATGAGCCTCCCCTGTTCTAGCTGCTATAAACCATTACTATTCTGATGGAAAAAGGTAGCAGACTAACAGCGCCGCCCTGTTGGCCATGCAGCGTAACTGCAGAGGCAGGACACCAGCCTGGAGATAGACATTACTTCATAGATGCTGAATCTAAAACCACATTACCAATCTAATCTTAGTAGATCTATCCATCCAAAGGGACAGGACATGCTACCTTGTCTTTGGGGAGCAAGGCTTTAGCTGACAGACAGATTCATGATCGCTCAGACACCGTTAGGCCGTAAAGCAGCCAATGACATCACAGGCTTCCTCATCTGAAGGAGCTGGGCGTCTATTCCCGGCGCCATGCGCCGCGGCGGACAGAGAACAACGCAGTCGCACCTGATAATTAGAAAAGTCTTCTGAATATCAATGAAGGCACTCTGGGTGGTTCTGATTCTGATGGCGATGCGGCGTCCTCCACAATGTTAGAGGAGGAACTGGAAGGATGGAAAGCAGCTTCTGATAGGACCAGAACCACTTCTGATTGGCTGTATTAGCAGCCTGAGCTCCATGAAGACAGACCTATGCTCCAAACTAACCATCTGGATTTGGACTAGGCCATTGGGACCCGTGGACAGGCTTAGCATCACTT